CGCCCCCGCTCCAGTCCCCAGATCTCGACCCGCCTCCGCTTTCGCCCCCCATCCGGACCCGGACCCCAGCTCCGGCGGGACCCGATCCCGCCCTCCTGCCTCCTGCGCGGAGCCCGCTGCTCTGCTGGCTTGGAACCCCGAACCTGGAAGAGCTTCCTACCTCGGCCTCAGCGGGGCCTGTAGACCTGCACTGTTAGAAAACTTTTCAATTTAAAGAGCCCATAAATCAGGCTTCTGAGACGTGTCCCTTTCCCCTCCAATTCTGTTCTCTCTAGAAACTGTTTTTGTGGGTTTTTGGAAAACATGTTTAATGCCTTTTAACGGGCAGATAGGGTAGCAAGGTGGCCGGGCTAATTAATAAACCGGATCATAGTGGGAACCGAGGAGGGGTTCACTAGGCATATTCACCCCCAAAGCCGCCGCGGAGAAGGTCATGTGGGCCAGAAGTTCACGGTGGGTCGATGTCTTTATTTCACAGGAAGCGTTAGTCACCGGACGCCGCGTGCTTTAGTTCTGTAAAACCAGGGAAAACATTTTGGGGAAACCAATCCTCTTTTTTTTTTTAATTTTGAGAAGGTATGCACTTTACATATTCATGTGATGGGAAGGGTGGAAACATTTTTCCTTTTTATTTTTTTGCTTACTTTGAAGTTGCTGTTGCCGTGCTCTGATCTCCCAGGACCCTGGAGAAGGCTGCACACGTGCTGGCTCGGGGCACCGGGAAAACGAGGACACCCGGCATCTGCACCGCGCGCCCCGCCTGGGTGAACACCGTGCCTGGTACTGGTCTGACCCAAGAGTGGAGAGCTCTGCTTTTGAAGATTAAAAGCTCTTCAAGGACCCCGCACACACCACCACTACCTTGGCCGAATGCTTTCCTGGTAACTGCTGCTTCTCAGAACTATACTCAAGTGATGACTTCTCGGGCAGGGACCAGAGCCCACTTACGTGTTCCTGCTGAGTGCCGCCTGTGACCGCTCTTCTGCAACTTCCCTCAGACACAGGCTGGGTAAACCAGGAGAAGACAGCAGTGGATACCCGCAAAAGAAGTTAATCTCCAACATGTACAAGTCAGGCCCCTCAGCCTCCCCAGCCCCACTGGCGGCCTGGGTTCCTTCCCAGAGCTTGATCTTCCTTTGTCCTCCATCCCCAGGGTCCAGTTCCACGACAGTGGCCTCCTTGGCTCCGCACTGCTGGGACCCCTGAAGGCTGCCCATACCTCTGTCTCGTGACACAACCCTGGTCCTTGCCTGGCTTCTTCCCTGCTGGCTCCCTGCAGGCCTTGTGACAACAGAGGCCCGTGGTTCCCAGCTCTGCCTCCAGGTAGACCTGGTCTGGCCAGCATCTGGGCCCAGTGCCCCTGGAGTTCAGCCGGGACCGTTAGTATATGAAAGCTTGATTCTATCACGTTTCCCCCAAACTCGTGAAGCACTGTTGTGATTGTGCTGATGGATTTTTTTTTTATTTTATCTTGAAAGGATGTTTATCCTTTAAAAGGATTGATTGAAAATACAGCTACTGTATCAAATCATCCACTTAGTTCATACCGCAGAGCATTCTCAAGGCTCGGGCCATTTCCTGATTGCAGGCTGTACACAGTTGTGGATTCAGCGCAACTACATCCACTAACGTCTTGCCCCTCCTGTTTCAAAGTCCGACATGTCCTGGTTCGCACCACACTGTGTCTCCTCAAGACTGGATTTCATTTTGGACAGCCAGGCCCGTCTACCGCTTCTGGTCTCAGACCTGGCCTGGTCAACTGCTTTTGGTCATTCCTGGTGGTTACTTTGTCTGTCACTACCAGCCTTTTCCTGGACACAGAGTCAACAGCAAGACTAGACTTTTGTTTAAAAGTAGTAACAAAGCCTAAATACTTGGAAAACTGAAGAATCAAGGAGAACGAAAGAGGAGTAGTAAACGGATGAAACTTCACCTCCGCCCCATCTCCCCAAATGACCACTTTACCACCACACTTACACACTGGTGCATTTCATTCCTGCATTTGCATCCACGTGTATAAAATACATATGAAATCATACTACTGTTTTTCTGCCTTCCTTCTTTTGTGTTTTGTTTTTTGGTTTTTTTTTTGGTTTTTTGAGACAGGGTCTCACTATGTAGTTGAGACTGACCCGGAACTCACTACATAGCCCAAGCTAATCTCGAACCCACAGTGATCCTCCTGCCTCAGCGGGATTACAGGTGTGAGTCACCACGCCCGGCTCTGCCTTCCTTCTTAGTGATGTTCTTCAGTGCTTTTCAAGCTAATAATATGTCCGTACCCTACCACGACTTGTGACCGTGTCATACTGTGCTGTATGGTCATACTTTAACCATTTCCATGTCATTAAAATTAGGTGGTTTATAATTTTAAGAAACCATATACTACTTCTATGGTTGATATCTATTACATTCACATAAAACACCACTATTGTGTATGAGCCTCATGTTCCGTAGGATAATGCACTAAAACTAAACTTTTTGAGAAAAAAGTGGAAATACTTTGAAAGCTTTCAACACACATTATCACATGAGCACCACTTTTAATACTGTAGACCTGAGAGTATACTTTCTAATCAAAGAGGTTTTAAACTACAACATCATTTTTAAAAATCCATGGGTAATTTTTTAAATAAAAAGGGAAGAATCAAATATTAACCATCAAACTCCCTTGGACATTTATGGTTTAACATCGTATTCTGTCGCGAGCCGGCGACGCAGAGCACTGTCCAGCAGTGCCTCAAACCTGAAAGAGCAGCGGGGTGGAGATGGGGCAGAGAGAAAGGAAGGACGCCAAGACAAGAGTCTGATCAAGGCGACGTTTATTGCCGGCAAGCACCGGCCTTTTAAAGGAAAAGACCACAAACTATTATGGGTTTACCATAGTAACTGAAAGGTCACACAAGAAAAGAGCAAACAGGTTCAACAAAAACAACCCACCGTGAGTAGTAGTAACCCGGACAACCACACATCTAAAGGTCAGAGACAAGAAACTGTAACTTTCAGGAATTCCACAAAGGAAACACTCTACCTGCTCAACTGGAGAAGCTTAACACATACGGAGTTACTAGAGTTAACATTGCTTACAACCAATACTCATGATCCCCACAGTATTCTATGATCCCTCCTCTATTTATTTATTTTTTAATTTATGTATTGGGTGCTGGGGATCAAACTCAGGACCTTGTGCTTGCCAGGCAGGTACGGTGCTGCTGAGCTAAATCTCCAGCTGCCCTCTGCTTTGATTTCCTTCTTCAGCCTTTGTGACAGTTTTAACTGTTGTGTCAACTTGAGTAGGGAATGTCCAACTAAATTGTATCGACATAGTTCTGGGTGGTGTAAGGGATTTACTGAAGGCAGAAGACACGTCCTCCCCACCCCATGTGAGTGATGACAGCCAATCGGCTTGCTGCCTGGATGGAATAAAAGGGAAAGGAAGAGAGATGGCTGGGTGAGCTCCAGTCCCTTCCTTCACCCTGGAAAGCGTCTCCTGGCTTCCACTGCAGACTCTTCAGCCTCCAGCGCATACCCTGTGGGCTCCTAAGTGGGACTTGCAAGGACACCACACAAAGCTCCAGGACTTCTACCTGACCCTCCAGATCTCCAGCGCACAGATGGCCCTTATGCCCTCTTCCACACCTGATGCTGCGGTGGCCGCTGTCAGCCAATCTTGCAAATCCTTGCACATTTATATACCTTATATTAACTGCTTCTCTGGTGAGCACTGACTGATACACCCTCTGGTGTAACAATTGATAAACTCAGTCATGGCTAATACTCTTAAATCCATAGTATCAATTCCTATTTCCGCATCTATAATGGACATGAAGAAAACAGATTGTTGTTTTGTTTTTAAGCAGCAAAACCATTTCATCCCAGTGAAGAGAACAGATAAAGTGTTAGTCTTATTTGGATGCATGAAGTTCATGGCCAGCTAAGGTAAGCACAGCCTCCTTTTCTTGTTAGAATGCACTTCAACAGACATCTCTTAAACATCTGTTAGGTCTGTGTCAAGCTCTGGAAAAATGAGTTTACTCATTTGTTGAATGCAAATAATAACCACAACTTTTTCTTTAGTATAATACTGTAATGCCTATGAAATACTTGAACTGTCCAGAACACGTGTTACCTGCACATGGAGGCCTAGTACCAAGCTTTCTGCAGATATTTAGACTCCAACAAAATAGTTTCAAAGAAAACAAACAATGAAATAAAGCCACTGTGTAGTGATTTAAGCATTATATAAAAAAATGCAGCTTCTAATCTCTGGCAAGGCGCTCCAGAGAACTTTAGCAAATCCACCATGGGTGTTAAAATGCTAAGGAATCTCGGTGACACCTGTGTCACACTTTCCAAACTATAGCTGTTATGTTGCTTGGGCCTAAGGACCATTAGAAACTTCATTGGCCTAAGGATTCCATGAAAAAGAACTGCTCCTCAGGGCTAGAAACTCGGGTTTCAAACTGGAAACCTGAGGCCTTGTGTAGAAACTACAGATAGAGATGTTAACCTTTAGAAACTTTAAAAATTGATGAAGTACACTTGTAGATTGGGCATTAACCTTGAGCAAGGCTCGCTCAGCCCTGGCCCAGCTCCTGGGAGGGAGGTCCTTGGGTGGCTGTGAGGGGTCCAGAGGCCAGACTGACAGTACCATTTATGTCAGGGGTGAGGTCCTGTAGAGTCAGGGGGCTCAGCTGGCCCTCTGGAGGTGTAAGAAACTGGGGTCACCAGTGTGGTGGCAGTTTGACCACGTCACTGACCCCCCAGTACCAACTGGGGACAGGAGGTGGGCTGAGCTCTCTGGCTGGTCTCAGGGGGCCACACATACCCCTGAGAGCAGCGTGGTGCCCACACAGTGCCACTGCAGAGTACAGCTGGACTCTCCTCTGCTTCTCCGGGGCCCTGCTGCACTGTGGCCTTGTCCTGTTGATGGTTTTCATCCATGTCCTTTCTTTATAATAAACCATAGCTGCAATAAGCCACTGTGTTGATTCTGTGAGCGCTGTTAGCTCACTGTTTTACCTGGGGGTGGTCCCAGGAACTCTTGACCATGACATTGTGAAACTGGAAGTCCAGAAATGTGCACAGCTTTTCTTTACCTTGTGATCCCAAGCAGAAGGGTATCCCTGAGAAGGTATGGCATCCTTACTGCAAGGGGTACTATAAGAACAGAAAATGCACTTCCTTGCTCTTACCAGAAAAGAGAGTTTATTTTTTCAGATAACACAGGCAGGGAACTGGCCACTGCTTCATGGCCTACGTAAAATGACTGATGGCATCGTGCTTGACAAAATCTAGTGAGAACATTCAACAGCTCTGAGAGATTTTAAGCCCGCAGCTTAAGCCACTTAGTTGTATTTATTTGTAAATTATGGCAAATAATTTTATCTGTTTATCTCTTAACTCTCTGCTACCAAGTTGGAATGGGAGAACCCAGCTGCCTTCAAGAGATGCTAAATACCACAAGCTGTTTCTTGAATGCTGTGGAATCAATACAGCTCAAAAACTCAAAATA